AAAGGAGCCTTAGAAAGAAGCCCTAGAAAGGAGCCTTGGAAAGGAAGCCTTAGAAAGGAGCCTTAGAAAGGAGCCTTAGAAAGGAGCCTTAGAAAGGAGCCTTAGAAAGGAGCCTTAGAAAGGAGCCTTAGAAAGGAGCCTTAGAAAGGAGCCTTAGAAAGGAGCCTTAGAAAGGAGCCTTAGAAAGGAGCCTTAGAAAGGAGCCTTAGAAAGGAGCCTTAGAAAGGAGCCTTAGAAAGGAGCCTTAGAAAGGAGCCTTAGAAAGGAGCCTTAAGAAAGGAGCCTTAAGAAAGGAGAAAGGAACCTTAGAAAGGAACCTTAGAAAGGAACCTAGAAAGGAGCTTCCTACCCCTTTTCTTTTCCGCGTGTAGTGGCTTCATTTCCGTAAGTAGTGACATTTTCATTTCCGTAAGCAGTGACATTTTCATTTCCGTAAGCAGTGACACCTTATCCGCTCAGAGTGATCATGATTCCGCAAGATGTGACAAGTCTTTCCGGACGTTGGGGCGAGCGAATCAAAGGCGAATCAATATCATTGCTGCATTCTCTGGCCGGAGGGCTGCCGAAGTTCCGTGCCTGCTGCATTCCGGCTCTCATAATCATCCTGGCACAAGCAGGCCGAGAGAGGAGTGCTAGGAAGAAGGCTTGCAATGATGACTGCAGCGCCTGCTATTATCATGTCAAGGATGTTGTTTTCAGCTGAACAGCATGCCCCCAGGAACTCCCACAAACCAAGAGCCAAACAAAGACGCGACCGTGAGGCATTTAACACAGCGGCGGCGCGGCATCTCGACGCAAAGGCCTAGCATGTGGCCGTGGGTTTCGTAGATGGCCTGACACGGGTTTCGTGAATTCAATCCCAGCCAAGGATAGCTTGTCCTGGCAGGAACGATAGATGGCGTTGGCGGAGCTCATGTCAAAGTCCTGGCACAAAACAGCGTTCCGCTTGACTCTTACTGGGCGCAGGCCTAGCTTGTCAGTTTGATGATGAGCCTCTCAGCCACGACAAATCCTCGTTTCCCTGCCTTGATGCCGAGCCGCTCGCGCATGAGCTTTTGCAGCGTCTCAGCCTCCGCTTTACAGGCAGAGGGGAGCACACTCGAAGTGAAGTCAGGGAAATCAGCTTCGGAAGGATGTTCCAAACCACTAGTGTCCAGTGTCTGTCTCCACTTTGTTCTATGCCCAAAGGGAATGTCCTTACACGGATTTCGGGGGGCACCTCGGATGCCCGCCGCCCACTCTGCCGCCTTCTTCCTGTCTGGAGGTTTGTGGTTTCGCAGCACCGCCACATCGGAGAGCTCTGAGTGAGCGAGGCGAGTGGCCACGCAGCGGTTGGCCAACAACATCAACTCCTGGCGAGCGAAGGCTCCGACGGGGATCCACAAAAACAGAAGCTCGCATCACAAGCCAAATGCTTCAACTCCTATTTTGATAACACAAGGCTTTATCTTCTGCAACAAACTTTTGCCATAGCTGACAGAAGGGAAAATCGGATTTCACGAAAGCTCACTAAAAAAATGCCGCAGCATGCCGCGAGCCGCGAGCCTCAATCACCCAATGCGAGGCGCTGTGGGACTCCAAGTGGTAGCCAGTGGGGATCCCGTCCTGAAGCAGTCAGGGATCCTTACAATGGATCCACCTGAACATTGCAACTTGTCAATGGTTTCCCAGTATTTTGGCGTTGAAAAAGCCATGTTTCAAATGGTTGCAACATGTATCTTTTAAGGAGCCCTGTGTAAAAAGCGACTCAAGCTTCGAACCTTCGCGGCGCGTCCTCACTGTCCATGGTGTGAAAGATCATTTTCCTTGGAAGGCTTGACAGCTTGCATCCTTCTGCAGCCACACGTAAAGGCAAGTGGACAAAAACAAGGAGCTGTGATTGGGACACCTAAAGACAAGGAGTGAAGGTCATATTGCCGTGTTCCAGGCCACTTCCGATTCCCAACCAAGACTGACCTTGTACCTCGACTGTTCGTGGGAACGAAATCTGCAAGACTGCCAAGCAGGGCTCTGCCAAATCTGCAGTCATGGCGCGTCTTGCTGATGGTCAATGCCCCTCCATTCAGACGTCCCGAGCGGACCTGGCAGTCAGATCCCACATCCATGACGGGAGAATGCTGCAGGCACTTGGCTGCTGGGCCCTGTCTGGCGCATGCTGGCTTTCTCTTTCAACCCCATCTCCGGGTCTTGTCCTAGTGAAACGCTTCCCCTAATCGAATTCAGGTGCAAATGCTCCCCCCCTCGAAGCGGCTACACTAGAGGTTGATCGAGCAGAAGCCAAGGCTTCGATTCTCATGTTGTCCGGCGGTTGAGAAAATGGTGACCCTGTTTGGAGATTATGAAAAGGTCACCGGGGTGGCAAAAGGATCCAAACGTTTAGCAACCCTCCCGAATCTGCCTCTTGCCTCATCTGTTGCCTACACAGTGGCCTACACACTCCCATTGCTCAATCTCGCAACTCGCGACTGTCTGAGGCTTGGCATCTTGCTGCGTGAGTGACAAGTGCTGGCTTGGCACTCCATGTCGAGCAAACAATTGCCATGAGCGCATCAAATCCGCGCAGCATGCACCTCTCACACACGTGGTGTCTGAGGCTCTGTGCCGTCGGCTTGGGGGTTCCTCCTTTCGACAGCGCCAAGATATGTGGCGCCGGGTGTGGTGCTCGACGTAAAGGGTATCAAACATGGTCAACCTCTGTGAGTGTGGGGGATGGCCTTTGCAAGCTCCTTACAATGGTCGAGCTAATGCCTGACCATCCTCTAATGCAGGTGAGCACGACCAAGGCATCAAAGAAAAAGCACGGTCAGTTGTCTGCACGATGCTGAAGATAGCCCATGAAAAAATGAAAAGAAAAACAAGTTCCACTCGCCCAGCTGCAGTGGGCCTCAAGATTACGGACTCTCCACGTCAGTTTCGCTTTCCGGCCATCAAAAAGGATGGTCATTGCTGTTTTCCCCCATTTTGAGGCATGACTTTCTCCCCAGATAGCTGAAAGCTATAGGGGTGGGTTCTAGCTTCTATCGCGCAGTGAGATTGACGGTTTTTCCCCTTGGGCATGCAGGTGGCGGTGCGGGCGCGCATGCAGTCTGCTTTGGGACGCTGTTTGGGTGCTGCGACGGTGCGGGCGCATTTTGCGAGATTGAAGGCCGTGTTTTGTAGCTATCTGGTGACTATGCTGGTAATTGTTTGGGAGGGGTATCATCGAGGTGGGGTTTTGTGTCCACCAACAATTTAAGGACCGTTGCAAAGAAAGTCCATCACCAATCCAATTTGCATCCATGCCTCTTCGGTCTCAGGAAGCCCCGCCCAGCCCATCCCTGGCTCCGGGCGAAGGTCTCGGTGCACTGCCGCGCCAAAGCATCGTGCTCCCAGCGATGAAAGCGCCGCAGCCATGCCGCCTTTCGCGTCGCGAGGCCGGGCTTGCCAGGCAGGCTTAATCCGGCGGCCATGGGGGAGACTCAATCTCAGGGGAGAACAATTCAATCAAAGGAGCCCTGATTGGTGGAAGCTTGTTTGGAGCTTGGAGAGAATACATGAGGATCCCAAAAAGAAATGTTGGTAGACAGAAATGCTCAAAGTAAATAATTGCTCGTGTCTTCTATCTCATACGCATTCCGATTCCCGTATCCTTTCAACCTGCTTCAAGCTTGCGTCGGCCTTTTGGTCTCCCTGCTACAAACTTAGAATACATGAGCATACCAAAACGAGTGGTAGACAAATATGGCAGTGGGTCAAAAATATGTACTCAAAAAAAATGGAATCCGATCGGTAAATGGAAACATGGACCAAGACCTGCGGTCCATATCCTGGTGTTTGAATTTTGACCCATACCCACATGGCCATGGGTCAAAACCCCGTACCCCCAGTGAACATGCCAAAAATAGGTCCTAAAATGGGTCGTGCACCTACCCCATTCTGTGGTACCATTGGTTTTGAACCCTGGCTCACATGATCCTTCAATGAACTTGCGCCCTGGGGCGCTCGAGTCTCCGTCGCCTCAGGCACCGCAGCAAACCCTTCGGCTTCCACCGGCGAGGCCAGCAGCGCGCGGAAGGCCAGCAGCAGCTCCTGAGACTCGATTAATATATACACAAAATGCGTGTTTAATACATATAACACAAATAATACAATAAATACATACATCAACAAACAAACCAATAAATAAATAAAACAATACATAAATACACAAACACATCTGCGTTGTTTGTTGTGAATAAAACCCAATGGCATGTGTTGGGGGTCTAGAGAAAAGCCCAATGTTTAGGGTGTGCTTCTCAGGGCACCTGGTGGCATTTGGGAGGTCAGAACCGCTCCTTCACAGTGCGCGTTGGCGTCCAATTCCCCAGCACCTCCATCTTCACCAGACCTAGCGCTGAATGGAGCAGCCCAACCGGGGGGGTTCCGCTGGGTGAAATGTGGGTGGAATCAGACCACTTTCGGAGGGGCCCGAAAACCGATATCAGACTTTTAATTGGTTCTTTTGGGGGGTCAACATTAGCTTCATCGGTTCATCTGCAAGCCTGTGCCAGTCGTGCCCCCCACTACTGAACCCTCATGCCACATGCGGAAAAGCGACTCCTAGGCAACGAGGCCCAGCCAAATCGGCCAAGCCATAGCCACGCTCAGAAGACGAGGTGCCATTCAAGTCCACATTGCAATGCAGAATCTTGGTTGTCACCATGATGTCTGGAGGTTGCCATGGGTAATCCTGCAAGCAAGCCCGTCTACGCGACACGCCCCAGCTGCGAAAGACTTCAATTCCATGTGGGAAGTGAACTCATTTGAGTCACAATCAAACGGATCGATATCAAAATGGTAAACCAATGTAAAGAACTACAAAGGCGGATAGCCGAGACGAATTCTGGCAAGGAGACTTACCTTCACCAATCCCAGTGTTTTAAGCAAGTGGCTCATTTGCCACCACGTATTTCCCCACGTGCAATGCGGGAAAGTCAACAAGCACCCTGTCTGGTGTCGGGAACCAGACAGGAGGAAAGGCAACTGGGTGCCACTGAATTGATAGATCCCTCACGTCCCTGGCTCTAGCCCTCAACATTTCTCTTGAAGTGACAATAAGCTCATCAGGAACACTTGTTCGAACTGGACATTTCAAGCATGACATGGGTCCGTCTGCTTTTTGGGGGTGCCCATTGTTTGTGGTTTTACCTGGACCTTCGTCCTCCTGAAAAAAAAAGAAAGAAACGTAGCTTCCACCTTTGACTGGATATTCGGGAAATCGTAGCACTTTTTGCCGCAAAACCAAGGAAGCTTTGCAGGGGGAAACGTACCCTTTTTGACCGCAAAACGCCTACACATTTCCGCAAATCTCCCGCAAAAACCCGCAAACTCCCACAAATCAGACAAAGTCGTAGTTTTGAATGATCAAGGCATTCTATGGTGTTCACTGCAACGTTGGCAAGTGCTGTCAGGTGTAATTGTCTGTATGGCCAATGCGCGACTGGAAACGACGCATCGTATGCGTTTTTGCCCCCAATTGTAGCTAAACCACTTGAATTCGGTAAATCGAAGGGGTCTCCCAAAACACCCATATTTGGCCATGGGTCAAAATCCCGTACCTGCAGCGAACATCCCAATCCCCGCTAAAATAGACCAAAATGGGTGGTGCACCTACCCCAAAATGGTACCATTGGTTTTGACCCACAGCCATTTTTTCCGGAGATTGAGTTCCAGGTTTTGGAACCATAGAACACCATCTCTCTTGTTGCTTTTTTTGGGGGGGCTTCCCTAAAAATGACAGACCCACATTATCAACAAAGGACACCGTGTACACTGTATTTCTTGGCAGAGTCACAATCTACCTTTCCCAAACTACCCTGTGAAAGGGTAGAATCTGTCTTGACCCCCGGTTTCGATTTTTGGCAACCCCTCTTACCTGAACTCCAAGAATCCTTGATGCCGCAACAGGGAACCCCCCAAAGGGTGTTACCTCCGCCGTGGGGTCCCAGAATTTTCCCGCAAACGCGGCAGAGGTCTCGGGGGGGTTGGGTCAGAAGGCTCCTTGAAGACGAGCACCAGGCGGAAGAGGCCCTCCTCGTAGGGCGTGCCCTCCGGGCCAGCGACCAGGGCCTGCCAATACCTCGCAACTGCACCCTCACGTGGCGTGGTGAGGCGCACTTGCACCAGAGGGTAAGGCACGGCCCCCCTTGTGGCTGTGGGTCGTCGACTCCTCGTGAGTTCCTAGGTTGCCTTACGGCAAAACCATGAGAGGCCGTCGACTCCAACTGCTTGCAAGCGACAGGGAACTGGAACTCACTGAGCGATCTGCATTGAAGACCAACGTTCCCAGCTGTCCCAACCCACTTGTGTGTCACACCTCGACCTTCTTTCTACTTGCAGCAAAACCAACATGCTCTCTTCTGGGCAGTCCTGAAGCTCGGAAAACCCCGAAAGGCTTCACCCACCCTCACCCTCAACAGCCCGGGAAAGGTCTAGGAAAGGGGCGGGGGGGGTGCAGCTTCAGGAGATGTCTTTCCCTTTTGCGTTCCCCCTCACGAACACATGGACCTCCAGGGGTCGTCACCCGGTCCCACGCGGTCCAACGCCATGGGGCAGGAAGGGGTGGCTGACGTAGCTGGCTGTGTCATCGCACCAGCACCCAGCTGGCGGATCCTCCGCGAGCTCGAGCAGCTCCTGTCCAGGACCAATAGACTTGACGAAACAACCTCTGGACGCTCGCTTGCACTGTCTATTTTATAGTGAGCTCAAGTGAGGGTATAACGAGCTGACCATGATAAAGGCGATAATGGGCCTTTGCTTGGGGATCCCTTAATTCCGCTTTTGGAAATAGTAAATCTATGGAGCAAGAAACAGGCAAGCAAAGACACACATACGCAGCGACTACAGCGGCCTGACGTAGACTCGAACGGGACGGGGTCCCAGTCCATGGTTTTCAGGCGAGCTTAGGTTGAAGTTTATACAGCTTTGCTGCAGTTTTGATCGGCTGGTTTAGCCTGGCGTATTTGCTGTACAAATTGCAAGTTGGTATGCCGCTGACTATCACGTCAACGCCTTGACATGTGTTAACAGAATGGTGCTGTCGTGGCAATAGGTCAAGTGATGCTTTAAAGTCGAGTTGGCGCGCTCGACTCGGTGCGTTCGAAGACTTGACAGGAAGCCCTGGAACACATTCACTGGCAGGCACGGATGCCCCATCCTCACTGTGGCCATGGGTGTGTCTTAAAATAGGAGAACCCCTAAGGTAGTTGGTTTCCTGCAGGTTTCACTTTCCAGCAAGCACCAAAAAGGGTCCCAAAAGACACACACCCACATCTACCAGCTGCGACGCCTGAAGAGCAGTCCAGCTATTCGTATCCGCGGATTGTGGAGTCTACCGGCCCATTCGACATCATTTTAGCCCCGGGGAGCGCCTGTAGCTGCGTTGTGACCAGTGCGTGTCCGCCGACATTGTTCGGCGTGTCGGATACCTAAGAGAGGATAGACCCCTTAGTCCCCCCCCGGGACACGTCAATTACGCAGGGT